GGAACACAGAAGCTATTATAAAGATCATTATTTTGTATTAAAATATAATATTTGTAGTGTTAATACAAAACTTTTAAGCCAAGCCAATCAATAATAACATATAAAATAAATATAATTGTCTCGCCACTTTTGCACCATGTTTATACTGGCGTGCCAGGTGGTGTACCAATATGGTGCACCATTGGTGTCACCAAGTGCCCTGCACTAGCAACCCTAGTGGTGGCACTCATTTTTCTACCAGTTCCCTAACAATTTTTTGTGACAGTATTATTTCTCTAGCAATTAATCTTTCTACATTTCTAGAGATAGGCAAGGAAATTATCTATTACATAAAAAAATTAGCAAAAATAAAATTAATTAACTTTATTTCTACTAATTTTTTACATAATAAGTAATAATATGTAATTATCTTGTCTGGATTAATAAAATTTTTTTTTCATACTGCTCATGGGTCCTATTTTGAATAGGTTCATAAACCAGGTTTTTAAATCAGTTGTATAAATTAGATTTATAAATTAGATTTATAAAATGGGTTTATAAACCAAGTCTATGAGCTAGATTATGAAATTGGTTCAAGAACTTCTAGTTAATTTTTCTTTGGACGACTACTAAAAAAACTAGTTTGAATCAGGTTCGACCCTGGTTCATCTGAACCACTTAACATCCCTAATTTGCAATTTTTTTTTTAGTTTCCCCACGAATTTATGATAGTAATAAAGTCGTAATACGTAGCATTCGAACAATTTTTTTTCCTCGCTTTACTTGGCCTTGTTTCAAACTCTACACCTTTTTAATGCTTTATCTCAAAGTAATATTTATCGATTATATCTTAAAATTCATAGTGATGCTTTTTTCTGCTGTTTCGGTATTATATACATGACAACAATGGCCACATTTACCAATTTCTTTTTTCTGACAAATCACAGAATCTAAAAGTTTCGTCTAAGAAACTACTTTTTGCGCAATAACTAAATAAATAAATAAAAGAAATTATCGCAAAATTTTGGCATATCTGTTGTCCATTAATGCTATCACTAACCCTAAGATGGTACAATTTAAAAGAAAATGATGTAAATAGTTACTAATAATCCCAGTCAATAGATACATTGAGGAAATTGGTAAATTCTATATAGTAGATTGATCATAAATTTAATATCGATATTGTTAATTATTGTGCAGCCATGTTATTGATGACTGCACTAAAAATTCTTATATTTGTACAGTTTACGTCATTACTGTTTTTACATCTTTTTTTTTTATGGCTTAAATTTTAATATTGGTCTCATGTTAATACAAGGGGGGATATAAGAAAAAAGTTTAAATTGAATGACATAAACTATACAAATGAAAAAATAATATAGTCGTCAATAACTGCTTCACAATAATACCGTTATTGGATAGGGTTAAAAATATGCACGTGGGTGTTAAACGGTAACAGATGATTGGCGCAATCATGCCGCGCAGCGGCATGATCTGCACCAATCATCTTCCACCGTTTAACACCCACATGCATATTTTTGAAACCCTATTCAATAAGTATAAGTTATTCGATATTTCATATGATCATGTGAATTTTTTTGCCATGATATTTTTTACATGAAATTACATAATCAGTTTTGCAAAATATCACAGAAAAAACTTCACATGGTCATATTAACTATCCAATAACAACATTATTGAACATATGTATGACAAATAACAGTCAATTGTTTTTTTTCATCAGAGTTAATTTCACTCATGTGCTGCTGCGCAGCACATGGAGTGACATTAATTCTGACAAAAAAAATAATTGACTGTTATTTTTTGTCGTCTGTCTAATAATGTACACATATTGGTCATACATCGACAAATAACGTGAAATTTGTTCAACCGGGCAAATGATTGGCTGGCATGTGCCGCGAAGCAGCATGTGTCAGCTAATCATTTGTTCGGTTGAACAAATTTCACATTATTTATCAACACATGATCCAATATCGATATTATCGTGCAACTATGATCATGGCTTAAAAAAATCGTTAGCCTCATACGTCATCAAAAGTATAAATAGATTAGATGATCGATTAAAAAAAAAATTTTTTTCAAATCGCTTAGAGAGAAAATTCTCATTTGCACTTAATGTGCATTTATTTTTTGTCATTCCTTTACATTTTGAATAAAGTCATATGTTGAGTTCAGATTTTTTACTTTTCTTTTAGAAGTTACAAATCAGTCAAAAGTTAAATTTTTTTTTTTATTTTGGTAGTTTTCTGATTAAGGTTGTTATACGTTGGTTTCATTGGCTTCGCCTTTCACCAGAGGTCTCATCTTTCATCAGGGAATTACACTTTCGCTGCTTTTGACGTACAATATACTGAAGAGAAGTCTGCCATTAGTATTTGGTAGAAAATGCCCAAGTCAACTAAAAAAACTTCTCGTAGTAGCGTCACCAAGGTTTGAATTTTAAAAGTTTTTTGTTTTTTTTTTGGAAAGTTATTTAAAAAAGTATACACTGTTGAATTAAACTACTTATATTTTGTAGACTTTTAAGTACGTTGAACCGTTAGCAGAAGACTTGAAAGCAATTCACGTGAGTTCTAAAGTACAAGCTATGCACAAGGCGACACAAGTGTAGGTGAAGGTTTTGGAGAAGTTCCGTGCTGATGTAGGATATGAGGGGAAAATTGAAGATGTTAGTTCAAAGGTGGTCTTAGAGGACCAGTTATATAAGTTTGTTTGTGCTATGAAATGTAAAGATAGCAAAGAAATATCGGGCATCTTCAGTTAAAAATTGCATGGCTGCTATCTGACACCACCTCAATGAAAAATCAGTTTTGGAAAAACCAGTGGACATTTTGAATGCAAAAGTATTTTATGACTTGAACACGGTCATTAATGGAAAGTTGAAGACTCTATCTGTGACAGGACTAGATGAACGTAATGGTGCGAACGATCTAACAATTAACAAAGTGAAGCAGATCCTGGTACATCCTACTATGCAACGTACCTCTCCCGAAAGTTTATTAAGGCGCATATTTTTTTATAACTCCATATTACTTGCTCTACGTGGTGGCGAGCATCAGGACCTTAAAATCAATAACTTTGTAAAGAGATTTGATGGTGGTATAGACGTTAAGTTATATAGGTCAAAAACAAATCAGAGAGGTTTGAATGATAGTGACAAACAAGCTGAAACAATAAGTTTACCCAACATCAAAATTATTATTGATGATTATGAATTTTATTTCACAAAACGTCCAGCAACCGCTGTTATGAATTTTTATTTGAAGCCTTGTGCTCCAAACGCTAGTATGTAGTCTTGGAGTTCGAAAAAATTTTCAAATTTCAATTGTAATTTGATCAAAATGTAAGATTTTAAATTTTTAATAAAAAATTTTTTTTTTTATTATAGTTGATTTTAGTACAAAATGGTTTTATACACGGGCATTACCTGAACGTACATTGAAAGGGTACTTTCACCATATTTGTGAAATTACGAATATAACAATCGGTGATAGGATCATCTCTAATGATTCAGGTCAAAAGACCTCCGTTCAAGTATTGAAAGGGTTGGGATATCCTGACTCAGTTGTAATATCTATCACATGCACAAAACCCAACAGGGTTTAGCATCATACGAACGACCCAAGTTAGTAATGCAGCACCAGGAGTTGAATAGATTTTTTAATGCACTAACGTTGGTATCAAAGTCTCCACCACCTGAATCAAGAGATGAAAATAGCAAAATGACCGATCAAGTTGAAAATAGTGAAATGACCGATCAGGGTGAAAAAATATATAGTGAATTTACATTGGCAAGCAATTATGCATCATTCGATACTGTTGAAGATTTTTTAGCTACCGACTTACCTGAATCTCCTCAAAACGCACTAAGTGAACTCGATTAAAATGTGCAAAAGGAAGGTCAAACGAATCCGGAAAGCGAAATCCAAGTTGTAAAACAGAGAGAAGGTCAAATTAATAAAGGGATTGAAGGTCAAAACCAACAAATGAATAAGGAAGCATTGGAAAAATTCCTTACTGGCAATGTGTTTCATAATTGCACTTTTAATTTCGGGTCGCTATAAATAAAAAATTTGCTAAAAAAAAAAAAAAAAAAAACAAAATAAAAATAATTGTTAGTATTGACGTTATTGCATGTAAAAAAATATTCAAAATAATATATAATAAATGTACTTAGCTTTTTAATGCATAATTAATAAAAATTTGTTGAATATTTGAGTCGAGTATTGCTTCAATATTTGTTCATTTGTGAAATATCGGTTTGTGTAACAGCTTTTGCATAAAAATATCAGGGCAAAAAAATGCCATGATCATAAGAGTTTGCACGATAACTATAAATTATTGTTAATAATATATGTTTAGATGGATTCAGAATTAAGTGATTTTCGAATCTAGTATCAAGTTAGTTTTTGACCTTAAATAGTCTACAAATGAAATTTACGTTTGCAGAAGTTAAGCGAAACGAGTATGCAAGTATTTGATTTGATTTTCCTTTCAACTTTTTTACATGTTTATGCTTTCAAATTTCCATCAATTAAAAATTGACGTACGTACGTAGCTTCAAAATTGTATGATTTTACCGATCGATAACAACTTTTTTTTTTAAAAAAAAAGAAGCAATTTTATTTATTATGTTTTTTTTTTTTAATTCTGTATTCAATTTTACATTGATATTTATTATATCGACCCTTTCGCGATTTTTTTTTTTATTATAATAATAACTCTTATTGTATTTGAGTGCGTGAGAATAAAAACCCGGAACTGATTATAATGATTTACTATGATCAGTTACAGGTTTTCATTCTCACGCACTCATTTCGATTAGTTTCTTGATTAGATAATTCTTTTTTTGTAATATTTTTGAAGAGGTTTTATTAATCGCATTAAGTTTTGTTGGAATTCTGTATTTCATAAAGAGATGAATTTGCTTAGTGGAATTGTGTCGAGTTTTGGAAAAGTCATCAGCTAAATTTGTATGCACCTGGTACGGATAACTTTACATAACAATACTTGTCTATCTTATCGATGTTGAGAATTCAAATCTCTTTACAATGTTACCTGGTTTTAAATTTAACATACAGTACTGACCTTTTTAGTTTTAAAAGGCCTTTAATAGAACAAACTTGAGTTTCATGGTTATGTTTATCCGATTAACAATTCAATTCTTCGCCAACTCCAACTTTAGCCAACCTAAAGGTATTAAGAACCTAATATTTAATTTAGGTTTTCATGTTCATTTGATGGGTTTTGTAAAACGGTTAGACAACGATTGTATTTAAAAAATTCATATATATATCTTTTATTTTTTCAATTATTTATATAGGTCCAATAATTTTTTCAAAGGTTTGAAGTGAAAGAAACGAACTAATGAAGTATATTGTAAGAAATCAATAACATCTTTTTTTGGTTTTAAAAAAAAGTTTATTTAAAATACTGCATTAAAATTTGACATACGTTACATTTTAATCAGTTAAACTTTAAACTCAGGTACGTTAATTTTTAATCGACGGTCATTTGGAAGCGACGTCTAACATTTATAGGTAAAAAAAAAAAAACCAGATAAAAATTTGATTTTGACTTTTTTTTATTTTTCTTAGAGATACTTCAATACTCAAATTTGAAATTTTGTCCATTTGCTGTCTTTAAATTGAAGTAAGTGTATATTATAACGTTGTTAGTCGACTCACTAACCAATTTATAAGACTAATATCATATTTAAGAACAATGACGATGTAGAAATATGCTATATGTTTCACTGTTCTTAAATATGATACCGAGTTGACTATAAACATTAAATAATAAAGATGACGGCGACAATGGGATTTATGCATAAAGTCTTGGGGATGGAAAATTAGTTAATCCGTTTAATTGCTGCTCGGCTTTTCGTATTTTTCATTTTTTTTGTTGAACATTCTTCTCAGTAATGTCCTCGTAAATCAATAATATCAGATATTCTCGTAAATCAATAATAGTTTTCTTGTAAATCAGTAATGTTCTCGTAAATCAGTTACGTTCTCACACTGAGGAGTCAAACAAATCAAATTTGAAAAAGTTGGAATCAAATAAATATGCTATTACTTTTAAAGATTAATTATATTAAAACTACTTAGCATAATGAGAGACACCGCTTTGAATAAAAACTTTCCATAACTGATTTACTAAAATTTTACTTATTAGTCCTCAATCGTACAGCTCAGAAACAATAAGATCTAAATGTATATCGTTATTAGAAATTTTGTAATTGGGACACTGCAAAAACCATGTTGAAGAATGATTCACGGTTTCGTGCAGTAATA